GTCTTCTAGCTGCTACACTGGGCGGTTCCTAACCGGCCGTAGCAGCAGCAGCGTTCTCTGCTTTTAGCGCAGCCAGCTGGGCCTCCTTCTCCTTGAGAATCTCCAGCTGCTGCTTGGCCATTCCCTTGGCCGTGGTCTCGGCCTCCTTGAGCTTCTTGACCTCGATCTGCTCTGTCTCGAGACTGAACGGCTGGCCAGGCTTGTTGACGGCGGGCAGCAGTGCGCTGCGCTCCCACGCCACCTGGACGTTTGATGTCTTCTCTGGCAAGGCCGGGATCGGTTTGTTCTTGCCTTTGCCTCCTTTGCCAACTGTGTGGCCCTTGGGATGAGCACCGGAGGTGAGCACTTCGTAAAAGGCTTCGTACGGCTCGTTGAAAAGCTGTTCGTCGTAGGCCCAAGCGCGGATCTCGCCGTCGTTCTGTCGCAGCATCTGCTCCTTCTCGGCGTCGGTCCGTCCGTATGGGTGAAGACGCAGGTTGTGGTACAGCGTCTGAGGTTTCTCTCCCGACTCGGTCGCGTAGTAGATCTTGATGGTGATTTCAAACTCTCCCCATCCGGTTTCTTGGATAAGGAACGGTTTGCCCGGTTCGCCGTCGATCACTGAGTGGTGGTTTAGCAAGCGCATGATTGCGCCAGGACTCGGTGCAAGGGCAACTTACTGCGAACGTGGTTAGGAATGGACTCGTGTAGCTTGAACTGCACTCTCCGAATCCAGTACGTGATGTCGATATCGTCGATGGCCTTGACAAAGACCTCCCATGAATGGGTGTGATCTGCCGGTACGCCTTCCGGCTTGGGGTTGGATTCGGGGTCGAAGGGTCGGGCGGTCGTGCCGTAAATGAAGGGTCGTTTAATCTGTGTACCCTTTACGCGTTTGCCGAGGCTGCTGGGCGGCGCCATATTGATGGGTTAGATAAGTGTTGCTCGGGTGATGCGATGCGTTCTGGTCAATGCCCAATGAGAGTGCCTGAGTAAGTTTGTGAGGATGTAGTGGGGAGATTTGGGTGTTGTCGAAAATGGACCGCAAGCTAAGACGGCAAGAAAATGGTAAGAAAATGGTTCCTGGCGTAGACAGCCTTACGCCAAAGTTTGAAGTGGGGCATCCAGTAAACCAGCCAACAATGACCGTCTCTCTCGGGTCAGCCCCTGCCGAAGAGACCCTTTGCGCCGTGCCTACTCCGTACGTTACCTTCAAGGACTTAATGTTCCTTGCACTGCGTGATTGCCCGCAAAGTTCCCAGGTATTCTTACCTCCATCACCTCAGTGTTAAATCCAGGAAGCAGCGGTCTATAAGTCTTTAAACATTGCTATCGAGGGTCGATCTCCTTGTGTGAAGGGTAACGAAGCGAGCACCACTCAATGGTGACAGGAATACAGAATGATTCGGCCTTTATAATCTTGTAGTACTTTGAATTTTGTGATTTATTTCGACTGCTTCTTGGATTACGAAGTCATCTCCGATCTCTGGAGCCTCTTCTAGTTTGGGCAGTATCAAGGTAGGTAAGGTAAGGTAAGGTAAGCTGGAAACAGTGGAAAGTGCAGCCACCATCGCGCACATCGAACCTCGAGCCAATGGGGAGCTTGGGGGAAGAACTGCCCCTCCAACCCCTGTAGCTAGCTGCAACTCTTTAGTTGGTGCAGCACCTGCAGCACCTCAGCCTGCATCATAGGGAAGGACCCCTGACAGGTTTTAACTGGGGAGCTGGGTAGCTGGGGCAGCTTCCGGACGGGTGATGATTTCATGACTTTTTTGAGCTTTCCATCCGCGTCCGGAACGGCATCGAACCACCTTCGGAAGAAATCTGGCAATCACCTAGCGCCGAACCCGGTCGGCATTTCAATTTGACTCCATCACCGTCGATCCGGCTCACTCTCTCCTTTCGTCTCACTGCACTTTGTCACCTCCAATTAGTGCTGGTTCTCATCCAATTGGTTGCCTGGGTCACTCTCATCTCATACATCGTCCCGTTCATTTCATTCAGTCACACTCTCATCATGTCAACCTCAGCCGTAGCGAAGAAGCTCGTAGTGTGCGGCGGCAACGGCTTCCTCGGGTCAAGAATCTGCAAGTATGCCGTCGCCAGGGGCTGGGACGTCACATCCATCAGGTACTCATCCTCCTCGTGAACCAATCTCATGTTTCTCCCTTCATCCCCGCTAACACGTCCTCTCCACAGCCGCTCAGGCGAGCCCAAATGGTCCGCCGTAACCTCATCACCATCCCCTCCCCAATGGTCACACAAAGTCTCCTGGGAGCGCGCCGACATGCTCAGCCCAGTAACCTACGCGCCCCTCCTCAAGGGCGCCGACTTCGTCGTCCACAGCATGGGCATCCTCCTCGAAGCAGACTACAAGGGCGTCGTCTCGGGCCAGGAGTCCCCCGTCTCGGGCCTGCAAAAGGCCTTCGCCCCCGTCAAAGACCGCGGCGTCGACCCCCTAAAGACCTCCGCCGAGCCGGGCGGCGGCCCCGGGGCGGACCTCAAGCCGCCCAACCCGAAGGACCAGTTCTCCTACGAGGTCATGAACCGCGATAGCGCCATCGCCCTGGCCAAGCAGGCCAACGCTGAGGATGCAAAGGCCTTTGTCTACGTCTCTGCCGCTGGAGGGGCGCCCGTCCTCCCCGCGCGGTACATCACCACCAAGCGCGAGGCCGAGAGCACCATCGCCAGCGAGTTCCCGCGGATGAGGGGCATCTTCCCGAGGCCGCCCTTCATGTACGACAGTTCGAGGAAGTTCACGCTGCCCCTGGCCGCCATGACGGGCGCCGGTGCCCTGTTCAACAGACTGACCGGTGGCGTATTGAGCGGATTCATGGGCGCGAGCGGCGTGAAGCCTCTGCCGGTCGAGACCGTCGCGGAAGCAGTGGTGGAAGCACTTGATGACGTTAAGGTTCAGGGCCCGATTGAGGTTCCCGAGCTTGAGGAGTTGGCAACCAAGGGCTGGAGGAAAACGATGCTCTGATGTATTGAGAAGATTGTATTTGTAATATGCCATAGACTGTACCATCCTCCAATTCCAAGCCTTGAAATGGATTGAAAAGCCATCCTCCAACCTTGATCTCTAGAGCAGATCAAGTAGACTTTACCTCTGTCCTCGTAAGCCAAACCCAAGGTATCAATTAACCCGCAAGACGAAAAAAAGAGTTCACCACCGGTGTGGCTACATCTCTTGGTGCTCATGCTGGGATTCGAACTCAGGTACTCGCTAAGCCTGTCGTCGAGTAGGCTGGTTGGCGTATACATTGTTGACCATTAACCACTCCCCCACCCAGCCAGTTTGACCTGGCCCGTCGACCTAGACGGGTGCCTGCTGGCTGGTGACGGGAATGGATTTGAGGGGGGGTATAAGGGCTTCCCTCTGTGTTATTCGGGTGTATATTCTGGCAACGGGGAAAGGCGATCGGATGAACGTTGGAAGGAACGCACGGTTAGCACCGTTACTCTTTAGATTCCTAGCCGGACTATGCAGGTACATTAAACAGGTCTCTGAACGCAAGAGCATCCCAATTTATCCCAAACGCCAGCGCTTAAATCATGGTTCCTCGCTCAAAGCTGTCCCTAATCTCCGCAGTATACTTGTTGTAGAAGCGCGCCAGCTTCTGGTTGAACTGCTTGTTCTTCTCGTTGATGTACGTCACGTCACCGTCGTCGCCGTTCTGTGCCATGCGGTCCTTTCTCTTCTTGAGTCTGTTCGCATCCGCCCTCCTAAGGTCTTCCACCAGCCGATCCACTGCCGCCTTGTCCGGCTTATTCTGTGCGAATGTGGTTGAGTCGGCTGTCGAGTAGAAAGACCCGTCCTTATCCACCGCGATGAGCTCTCCGTCCTCGGTCTCAACAATATCGAGGCCGCCCGAAGCAGCGGCGCGCTCGATAGCCGCCATCTTGTCCTTTTCGTACTTTTCCATGTCGGGGGCAATATTCCTCAGCTGGCGCTTGTACACCTTGTTGCTTTCGGCAGTGTAATCTTGGAATGCGTTGTTGTCGCGGTGCGCCTCCTTCTTCTTCACATGTTTATCCCACTTCTCGCTCTCGTCAATCGTCCAGTCCCAGGCGCGCTTCCGCTCAAAGTCGCCACCAGCGTCCTCAATGTCGGCCTTGAGCAGCTTCTGCGAAGCGACGGCCTGCTTGCGGTGGATCGCCGTCAGCTGGCTGGGGTCTGATGCGAGACGTTGTGATTCGAGCGTCGCCTCTTTCAAATTCTGGTCGGACGAGTTCTTAGCGCGGGCTTTGAGGGCCTTGAAGCGCGCCAAGCGGTCCTGTGATTTTGCTGCGGCATCTTCCGCCGTGGGCTGTGGTGGTGCTGCTGCGGTCTCTGCTGTCGCGGATGCGGTTTTCGTGATCGTGCTAGGTTCCGTTGCTTTGGTCTCTTCAGGCGCGACAGATTTTGCTGGCGCTGCAGTATTGGCTTCCTCCTTGGCGGCGGTACCCATATTCGTCTTTCTCTTCTTGGAAGGAGGCATTCTGGATGTGTTGCGAATCGTCTAAGGTGTTGCCGGTCGCAAGATGTGTAGATGTGGGTTGTTCAGGAATCGCGATGTATGATTTTGGTGGTTGTATGGTGATGTGAAGTAAAGTGACGAAGAAGTGGGATCTCATTGGGGGACGATAATGGATGTTCAAGTGCGACTCGACCGACGTTTCTCCGATAGGTACCGCCGCCACAGTCTGGGTGCCTTGTCGATCCGTGTGGCTGATGGGTATGGCATATGTGGCTGAAGGTCGGAAGAATAGATCGACCCACCACCGCTCCCCCGCAGGATCCATACGGGTAACGGACTCCTGCAAGAAACACCCGTGGCTGTGCGGCCGGGTCATCCCTGTCGTTGCCCCAACACCCCTGCGCCGAGAGTGCCCTTGCATCTCGTTACCTTGACGCGCCCCCTCTCAGTATGCGGCTCCCCAGGATCAGACGACTTTTCTGAGCAACGCTCGCGTGTCCGTGAATAGCCTCTGAAGGTGACCGAAGCTTATCGAAGACTAATTCGCCATACACCTCAGTCATGCGGCCACTGAGAGCCGCAGGCGTCTCTCGCAGAAGTGCAACTGCTTGCTTGCACACTACGGCGCCATCGCTGGCTCGGCTACAACGGCCGCGTGTTCACGAAAAGAAGAGGCCGGCAGAGCCGCTAGTCCCATACTCATGGCGGCCCTTCGAGGTGCCAGAGGTGGTTCTCGACCTGGACAGCTGGGACAACCCAATCGCACGGCCATACGATAAAGATGAGATGCAGACTCAGAGGAAGAAATGGGAGCAGAACTCCATTGTCGACGCCACGTGGCAACGGATCAAGCACTTTGAGTATGAACGCCAGCGTGACAGCGAAAAATTTGCCAAGGTCAGCGTCAGCCATCCTTGGTATCAGCACTGGCAGGTCACAGATCTCGACATCATGACGGCCGCTCTGAAAGGCGACTCGCGAGTCGGTCCGCAAACCCAGATTCGCCTAACGGAGGAAAAACCACACCAGAATGATGCTTGGTGTGATCTGAAGTCGGTTGCTTCGAAGAACGCAATTCCATTGACCTCGCTTCGAGACGATAAGAACTTCTTGAGCTGGTTGCTCCAACGAAGGCCCACCACGGCTTCTTTACCACTAAAGCGCCAACGGGAAACTCGAGCATTTATTCGACGACTGGAAGATCTCCAGAGCCTTCAGCGCTACCTGCAGTTTCTACTTCAGCATGGGGAGAAGGGATTTCAGCTCATTCACAACGCGGATCGGGATATTGCTTTTGTGTTATCTCGGCTCCTCACCAAGCCACCCAGGTTACGGCCCTTCATCGACCTCCTTCCCTTTATTAACAGCATCTTTGCTCTCCAGAGACAGCATGGTCTACCTGTTAGTCCTGATCTCTGTGGTATCTGTCTGATCATCTCGGCCAAGGCGTTTCAGCTACCGGCAGTATCGAGATATCTCAAGCTTGGGCTGAAAGAGGGTCACTGGGTTGGTGAGGGCTCATCTGCTTCTGATGTCAAGACTGCGGTCAAGGCGCTTATTCGATGCTGGGACAACAGAAGGCGCTTCCCAGATGTGGACCGTTCTGGAGACATAGTTCGCCGTCTACTCGGAGAGGGTTTGGGGGAGGACAGCGCTGCTTCCTTCAAGGTCGTTGCGCATCACCATCCGGAGGACGAAGGGTTGAAGGAACAGTTGGCGGAGTTGTTACATCGCGTTGCTTCCGCCCCAAAATACCCTTCGTCTATGAATAGGACACCTCATGTCTTGGCGGAACAAAATTAGGGCTACCTGAAGGAAGCAGGTCCCAAAGTAATGGATGTATACTGTACAAACATTGAGTGGGCTGAGAGAAGTCAGACCAACATCGAGGTTGGGAAGCGGTGGAGATATATATCAATCCCCGCAAATTTCAACTTCAATTACTCAACTTCATTGCTGTGCTGCATAACACCCCACGTGGGCCAAGACGCGTACCTTTTACGTCTGGTTTGCACGATGACTTGCTCATCGTATGCCAGCACCTCTACTCTCACATGATGCCTAGCTAACATACGAATCCGCAAGCCTCCTTTGACAGCGCCTCTCCCCATTCAGCCCTGTCATGCCTGCATGCGAACGCGGACTCAAATGCCATGTGGCTTGCTGAAGTTTCCAACCCAGAGGAGACTAGTCTCGAGCAAGCTGAGCCAAGTCCCGCTAATCCTGCCATTCCATTGGGTCTACAGTCCAAGTCAGGACAAGCCAAGCTCAAGCGCTTCCCTATTCCGTCCAACTGCACATAACATCCTACGCCGTGTTCGTGTCAAGCTGGTGCTGCCACTCTCCATTGTCTCCGATACGCTACATTTCGCTATGCTTCTGCATCAATTTTCTAGCAGATGATGGATCAGTGCTGTATGTCAGCAGGAGCCATGGTGTTCTTCTGTAAATCCGGCGTGCCGGGCATCCACTGGCTCACCATAGTTGATACCTGTAAGCTGTCTCCGTCTCGCCAAGGGTAAAGGTTGCTAACAATTTCAACACAGGATAGCACGCTCTAAGTGGTATTTCTAACTTTCGTGTTTTACAAACCATGAAAATACAACCAAAACAAGAGGCGAGCCCACCAGAAGAACCACCTTGGGGTTACCGCAAAGCCTCGTAAACTCACGCATGATCTGCTCTACCTCTGGATTGAACTTCAGCAGGAGACCAGAGCAACAGGTACTTGGCAAAGCGAACCATCTCGATGCGTGGCGCTCCAGACCTCGGACTAGGAGTCCAGCTCCCTCACCCGTCCGCCTCTGGTCTGGAACGGAGCCCCCGTCAGCTCGTCTGGATCCGGCCTGGTCCGGACGCTGCAGATCAGAAATGTCTCTGACGCTGCCGCTGGTGCTTGTCAACAACCCCGATATGTTGACAAGCCCAAACTCTGTTTTCTCTATCTTTCCCATTCTTCGAGAGGCCCCTCCCCCGTTCTTGTCTTTGTTTGAACTTTCCTTTTCCCTTCGTCCTTCGTTCTCGAGTGAAGTGATAGTCAATGTCCTGTCAAGACTGATCTACCATCGTTACGTTACCTTCTTTCCATTTTCTTCATCTCAACTTTTTAGAAATTCCGTAATTTTATCACATTCCACTGTTTAGACCAAGGTATCAGACCAGACGATCATTGCCTTGCAGTCGTCAAGTAGCCCACTTCCACCTCCCGAGACATACATCAAAGTGGGAGATCTCGATCAATCAACTCTCAATTAGCCGACTGTCCACTCCCTTTGCTCATCTTCACACGTTATGCGCATGATCCTTTCCGACTGAGGGTCGAGTATCACCAGGAACCTGGTCCGCGGATAGATCAGGATCGACATACCGCTGGCGGGAAGATAACACGGATCGCGGATCACCGCACAGAATGGCAATCTCTAGCCCCTTGTTGACGGTTTTGGCCCTGGCCTTGCTCCCGGCATCAACTTTGGCGCAGAATGATCCGGTCAACGACTTTTGCCGTCGCTTTGGGCACCAGACCGCTGTCGTCGATAACAAGCTCTTTATCGATGGCGGCCTTGTGAATTGGAATCCACTTTCATCTTTTCCAGCCAACTACTCAAGTATATCACCTCAAAAATCACACCTGCAGTCCCGTCTCCTTTTTCATCCAATGGCAACATTCAGTTCCCACTAACACCCTGTTCAGATACATGGCTTCTATACCAAGATCTGTCTTCATCTACGGCTTCGGGGATGCCCCCCCTTTACGCCAATCTCTCCAAGAATGGATCAATTCCTAACGTCGCCGGCGGTGCCCTTTGGTCTGACAATGTCAACAAGCGACTCTATCTGTTTGGCGGGGAACGCAATGCGGGGGAATCGCCTATGCCCTTCAACCTATACGGCTATGATATCCTGAATAATCAATGGGATTCTTTCGGCCCATCTCGTACGGGGGCTTCGATATCAAAGGTTAGCTACGGCGCGGGAGTCTCTGTCGATACGCGCGGCGAAGCATATTACTATGGTGGATGGTTGAGCAACGCCTCCGTTCCTGGATGGGGCACTGGTCCGCCAGTCGCAACGACCGGCTTGGTGAGATACACCATGGATACCAATAGCTTTGCCAACAACACTGGGTAAGGAGAGGAACCTTGGTCAAGCGAATGCACATGATACTAACACCTACAAAGTCCTGACAATGTACGACGTGCCGAGGGCAGCCTGCATTACATCCCCGCTGGAGACGGCGGAATGCTCATCTACTTTGGGGGCATACAGGATCTGGCTGGCAATGGAAGTTCTACCATTGGCCAGCCCATGGACCAGATATTCATATACGACGTGCTCAGCAGCAAGTGGTACACGCAGAAAGCCTCAGGTGATGTTCCTGGAATGCGACGACGATTCTGCGCGGGCGTAACTTGGGCAGGAGACCAGTCGTCCTACAATATGTGAGTACATTGCTTCATGTCCATACTCACTATTTGCAACCCATCTAACACATATTCCAGCTACATGTACGGCGGCGCCAATGTTCCAGGCGTGCTGGGCGCGGGATTCGACGATCTCTACATCCTCTCGATCCCAACCTTTACCTGGATCAAGATGTACCCCATCGGCCGCAACGGGACAGGAGACTACCCTCACCATTCAATGTCCTGCAACATCGTACCTGGCCGTGCGCAAATGATTATCTCGGGTGGCACGTTTCCGCTCTCCCAAGACTGCGATTCGCCCGGGCAGTGGGGAACCCACAACGCGGACCTCGGGAAACAGAATGCCGGCAAGGTTGTCTGGGAGTTATACAAGCCCAACAAGACAACATACGCCGTACAGGACGAAGTCATTGCCGTAGTAGGAGGCAACGGCAACGGCGGCGCTACAAAGACTGCACCGGCGGCTGGTTTCGACTACACCGACGTCAGCCTCCTCATCACGCTCACGGCCAGTATTCCGAGCCGTACGCCGACGAGAGATGTCGGCAGTACCGGTACTCCTGCTCCCACAGGAGGCCTATCTACAGGTGCCATCATTGGCATCGCGATAGGAGCTGCAGTTCTAGTCGGCGCCATCGCCTTGGGATGCTTCTTCCTGGTCCGTAAGCGTCGGTCAGACCGATTCCACACCGGAGCATCGCCGCCAGGACCAAGCCACGTATATCACGCCCAGAGCATGTCAGAAGCGTGGTCACCACCCGCGGCATCGCCTTACTCACCACCATACGGACCTTCTCCATTCACGCCTCCTCCCCTGTCCGCACATCCGCAATCACCGCACCCAATGTCCGCGCATACGGTGCCGCCGCACATGGGCCCGCCGGTAGAGCTACCTTCCGAGCCGTCATACACGACTACACCAGCGGCTCTCGCGGGCACGACGACGCTCACAAACATATCGTCCACGGCGTCGTACCCGCCGCAGCAGGCGTACTTCCCTGAGACGACGACGCTGCTAAATCAGCCGCAGTACGACGCCCACGGCAACATGTGGATGCCGCAGGTGAGCATGGTGCAGGTCGCCACCGGGGTGAGCCCGCCGTTGCCCGAGTACACGCCGGCGAGGGGCGACCAGAAGACACCGCAGCCGACGGCGGCCGAGGTACGGCACGAGCCGCCGCCGCAGGAGCCGCAGGAGCTCAGTGCGGACCCGGATGACCGTGCGGAGATGAGTACGAGGCAGGAACACCAGACGTACTATAACAGATGAGTTTGGTTTTTGCAGGCGCGTGGGTTATTCTGTTTCTTTGTAGTTAGCCTGAAGCCTGGTCTGTCAACGATAATACCGGGCCAGAGATGGAGGTGAATGGGATAGTGGTACTGTCGAAGGAGTCTAGCGTTTGCCTCTTTGGTTTGTTCATTCTTGTTACTGGCACTATTCCCACTTGGAGTTGATGGTATGGAATTATGATCACGCGAATTTCAGTAATTTCTCAAGGTACCTAGCATACACCTTGAACCATCAGGGTTCGGAGCCATCAAGGTTCAGAATGTGATAAGGATTCCGCGAAATTTCGATCGTTGCCAGTCCGCTGATCCGTTTCGTGTAACTCCATGACATCCATGCCCAAGAGAGATAGTTACACCGCATTACAACAGCAGCGCCCGCAACGTTCGACGCGTTGTGGCCTCTAGGCTCTAGCCCGTGAATGAATTTTGCCAAGATCACATCAATATGAGTCAAGGTCGCGTGACTTGTCCGCATGCGGAACTCCTCTGGACCCTGAGAGACCACCAACCCATGCAATGCCGGCAGGCGGAGGGGGGCGCCGAGCAATGGCTATCCTCTACCAAGCAGACTCTACATAGGATCTTGCCCCCCGATCCTAAGTAGGGCCCGGGTGATGTGACGAGTCCATTTCATGATCGGCTCATCAGCCGCAGCGCACCGTTGTCCGCCCACTGCTCTCTCTTCACGAGTCCATACCCCTCTCTATCACTGTCACTCTGTGTATATACACGTTTACGAAGTGTACACTCATCAAGGTCGTCCGGGATTCCTTCGTTGCGCTGCGCATATGCCGTGAAAATTTAATACATCAAGAAACCCGATGGCCCCCAAGGCCCCCGTGAGTTCCATCACCGCAGGCAGGCATCGAGTGTACATGTAGCATAGCGCAGAAGTCAAAACTCCACAGCAACGAACCATGACCGTGGCTTCCAGGAGCTTGTATTTAGGTCCTCTTGGCGCGCGTGGATAGAGACAGGTGTGAGAGGGTCCCCACGATGCTGTGTAACCATCGGGGAGGAGAGGGTGGGAGGGCGGCCATGTGCACCTCGGTGCCGAGAAAACGATTTCCGTTGTCACCAGTCTTTGCT